TATCTTTCCACTCTGACAAAAGGACACCAACTAATCAGTAAACACCCTCTGAAAATGCTTTTCAAAGTACTTTGGCATTCAGCTTATAGCTGTTTTGGCTAAGCCAAGTTTCCAAAACATGAAAGACAGTATTAAAAGCTATAGCCCAAACATCTGCTTTTCTTCTATCCATGGGGCCCATAACTCTCACGTATAGCTTTTTCTTCATATGACTTATTCTTCAAAAGTCCAAGTTGGTTACTCATCTTTTTGCCGTTTTCTTCCAGGTGTTTAAAATGCTTCCCCCACACACCAAAACTTTTTCTTCCAACTGCGGTTAAGCTTATTTTTTATTATTCCCCATCCCTCACACTCTGCATTTAAAGACAGCTGACATTCTGGAAGGCTGAATATAGTAAACATATTACCTAACATCCAGGATCTGTCAGAAATACCTAAAAGTATTGAAATTGTTTCACGCTGTCTACTAAGTAATGTAGAAAAAGTTTAACTTTCACAGTTTACTTTAAAATAACAAAACTAGTCTGAATTCTTTCAAAATATTTCTTTCCCTGCTTCCAGCTAAAAGCATAAAACTTCCACCACCAAAAAAGGGATACTAGTCCTCACATCAACACGGATCTCTGTATTGAAAACTGATACCAAAGAAAAGAAGGAAATTACAGATGTCAGTCTTTCCCAAGCATAAGGCAGCGGATGATACCATATTGATCTGATTTACTCACAGCTAAACACTGTTTCTTCCAGGCTGCAGGTAGAACACTCTAAGAGCTTTGACATTTATAGAACCCATATGGGATAGTTACATGATGAAGTGTGACTCCATCTTATATCTGAAACACATTAGTAACTAAACTGATATCACTAAACAGGAGCTCGGCAAGTTGCCTGATAGATTCAAGATACTAGACGTCAGAACACAGAGCCTCACATCTGTATCAACAGTTAAAACATAGTGCAAGTCAGACATGCTTGACTCCCATTATAGTGCCACAGCTGTTGCTCTAAAATGAGCTCATGGTCTTAGTCCAGTTCATAGCTGACAGGTATCCACGTCAAACAAAAAAGGACACCAGAACAATTAGTTCTTAGGAAAAAAACAAATCACCCAGAAACCCTTATATTCCTATTAGCCTGTTCCCATGAAACACCACCCTTTGCGAAGAGTTTGATGCATTAGTTGTATTTTCCGCTGTCACTAAAATCCAGATTTTTCCAGAGTTCTCCAATCATTAGTATAGCTGAAAGACCTCAATATGACTGCAGAACATTACAAAATGTTCTCTTTCTGAGTTTTTACAAATGTTCCAGTTTTTCTTCTAATGGTTTCAACCTTCTTTAACCACGTTCTGGAAGAAAAATATTCTAAGCAAAATGCAGTGTTAAGAAGCAGAAATTAGAAATTCTGAAAATAGGCCAGAGTTATTGCTGCAACCCTGCTTGTGAGGAAAACCATAGTGTTGTAGGAAAAATACAATAATCACATTCACAAATGTGCAATACCAATTACATTGTCACAGATGTTGCTGTGCTGTAGGCAAAGGTTCCATTGCATGCAGGATTTCCACGTGCGTCAGGAAAATAAATGAGAATTATTATCTTCCCCATAGTGACATTGGCTCCCAGTATTGGAAACAGAAGAAATTTTGGATTGTCTTAGTTTATAAGACTGTAACTCTTAAGAAGTCTAAAATATAGTGCTTCCTAATTAATATATTAAGAACATATATTTAGTCATATATTTCTTCAAAATGGTGGAACTGTCTTTCTTCCTCCACAGATTGTTTCAGTGACACAGATCTTCCAAAGACGTATCAGTTCTTGGAGAAGTAAGGATGGGGGTCAGTGGAAGTGTTACCTTGGACTTCCGGAGGGCAGACTTTGGCCTGTTTATGGGCATGATTAACAGTCCCTTGGGAGGCAAAGGAGTCCAGGAAGGCCTGACATTCTTCAAGAAGCAAATCTTAAGGGTACAGAAACAGGTAATCCCGATGCGCCAAAAGACAAGATGAGCGAGAGTAAAGATTGAAGAGAGCTTTGGCTTAAACTCAGGACAAAAAGAAGAGTTTATGACCTCTGGAAGAAATGGCAGGCAACACAGGAGGAGTACAAGGATGTCAAGAGGTTATGCAGGGAGAGTCAAAGCCCACACAGAATTTTATCTGGACACTGCTGTAAAAAACAATTAAAAGTGTTTCTGTAAATACTTTAGGAACAAAAGAGGGGCTAAGGAGAATCTCCCTCCTTTAGCGGATCTGGGGGGAAACACAGTGACAAAAAATGAGGAAAAGATTAAGGTACTTCACGCCTTCTTTGCCACCTTCTCTTATAAGAGGACCAGTTATTCTATGAGTACCCAGCCCTCTGAACTGGAAAATAGGGATGAGGAGCAGAATGTTTTGATCTGTTGGAGGGTAGGAAGGCTCTGGAGGGGGATCTGGACAGGCTGGATCCATGAGCCAAGACCAACTGCACAAGGTCAAGTGCTTTATCTTGTCTTTGGGTCACAACAACCCCAGGCAGCACCACAGCCTGGGGGCAGTGGCTGCAAAGCTGCTTGGCAGAAAAGGACCTGAGGGTGCTGTCTGACAGCAGCTGAACAAGAGCCAGCACTGTGTCTAGGTGGACAAGAAGGCCTATGAGAAGCAGCTGAGGAGCTGGGCTCAGGGGTGACCTTACTGCTGTCTACAACTACCTGAAAAGATGTAGCCAGGTGGAGGTCGGTCTCTTCTCCCAAGTAAAAAGTGACAGGATGAGAGAAAACAGCATCAAGTTGCACAAGGGGAGGTTTCAATTGGGTATTAGGAAAAATGTCTTCACTGAAAGAGTGGTCAAGCACTGGAACAGGCTGCCCAGGGAAGCAGTGGGGTCACTGTCCACTGTCCCTAGAGGTATTTAAAAGACATGTATATGTGGCACTTAGAGACATGGTTTAGTGGTGGGCTTGGCAGTGTTAGGTTGACAGTTGGATTTGATGGTCTTATAGGTCTTTTCCAACCAAAATGATTCTTTGATTCTGTTACTATTCCACAGTTTGCAGGAGTCTGGAAAGTGCATTAGTGGTGGCGTGGCGTGGGGGGAAAAGAAACCAGGATATTTGTTCTTTTTTATCTAGAGGTATTTTTCAGCTTAACTCAGTCAGGTATATGAACCTCACTTAGGGGTTCATATACGTATATACTAACTAAAAGCTACACAAGTTATTTATCTCCTCTTGACTATATTGCCTAGGCATCATCAGTCAGATATTACACTGAAACCTACAGAGAAGCCATGGATTCAGTATTTTCTCCATCAAGAGAGCCAGAAAATCAAACCTCTCCACTTCAACCTGACTCTTTTTATTGCACTTGGAAGCAGGCCAAATTTCTGGTTTTAATCATGAAAAGATGTGTTCCTATAAGCTCTGCTTTACCTTTATCACAGTGTTTCAATTTTGTTTTTAATCTCCCACCCCACAATCTAGTTCAGTTGAACCTTGAAGATATGAACATAAAACAGAGACGGACATTGTCACTAGTTATGGGAAGTTTTCTTTCCGTCATTGAAATATTCCTATTACTATTTCAAGTCCCTACACTAAAGGCCACCTGCTGTTACCTATAAAGAACAGTAGACGGTTGCAGAAAGTACCAGGCTTTGTTTAACTGAAAATGGCATTCCTCTAAAGCATAGCAATACCTCTTCTTTGCAGGGTGACACTGTTCAGTAGAAATTTTTCCTTTGGTGACCAAAAAGCCTCCAACCTGCATCCAAAATGAACCAATCTCCAGCTGTGCATTCTGCAATCTTCCTACCCAGCATGTGTCTTATTTCTGGGTGGTCTGTCTTCTCCTCTGCATTTGTTTTCCTGGTTCTCTCTGCGCCCCATACTTTGGCAGATAATCATACCAGACCTAGCTTGTAGCCTGAGACCAAAGAAACATAAGTGATATTCATTCAGCTTTCTTTGCTGCAGACAGTGTCACTGTCTTAGTTCTGGGAGAGTAAAACTGTCTTCTACCTTGCAATTATATCTGCTTTATCTGCTGTTTGAAGTTACATCACCTGGCATGCAATTATAATGAAACACACTCCACAAACCACAGGCACTGAACTATGCCTTTAAAACCACTGTTTAAGAGCACGTTCAATTTAGAACCAGCTGCAAATCTGGGAGGCTGAAGCTGAACTGCAGTGGAACACGCACTGAGCCAGAGAATCTTGATTATATTCAGATGCATTAAAAAGTTGATCTATGTATCCAGTTATTTACTTACATAATATCAATACTCCCCCTTGAAGGTAAGCATGTGTCTCATCAAAACCAAAGTGACCAAAAGACAATTGCTTCTAAAAGACTGGAAACGTTGCAGTTATGAGCCTCATGAAACAGCTTAAACTACCTTAAATCTTAATGATAAACATGTAAGATGAACAGATGCAAAACTGTCACACTGTACTTAAGAATGAAAGAGTAGAAGTGACATCCCAAAGGCAGATGAATAAAATCTAGCTCAGAAATTTGATAAAGTATGTGAACAGTAATGCTTACTTCACAATTACAGGAATAAATTACTTTTCTCACTGAAAATTATTATACTGATTAAAATAGTGTTTCAAACACATATGGTTTGCAAAAAAAAAAAAAAAAGACATTTATGGAGATTCAGAGGGATCTTTCCTTCCTCCAAAATGCAATACATTACTTGAATGAAACATACCAGTAACGTTCATCTTTTAAAATTAGGACAAATTAAGTTGGAACCGGGCCCCTCACACAAAAAAGCAGCAGCTTAAAAAGTAAGTTTTCTTGGCTACTAATAACAGTATCTTGTTTGCATACAGTACAAGTTCAAGGAAAATGAGGTTTCTTGTCCCTGATATTAAAAAAGAAAATAAAAAATATCATTATCCAACAGTGAAAATTAGAACTGAAATTATATGGTCATGGTATGGCATCTCAAGTCTGGATGTAGAACAGTCCATGCACACAAGAAAAAGCTTCACAGATGGCATAGAATTAAAATAATTTTGTAGAAAATAAGTTTTATTTGGCTCCTTTTGTACACTTTTTCTTAAAAAAAAAAATGCACATTCATACCGTTTGCCTTTCCCAGTGCATATCTGGATTTGCTCACATAGAGCCACTAATACCAAGGCAAAAGGTGCCTTTGAAATCATTTCAGACACATGGTATTTCAGCTGTAAAACATCCAAAGTTACTAATTTTCTGATTATAACTTCGAAATATTGTTTCAGGTGTTTCTTCTCTGATTCACACATGTAAGTGTCCCACACAGGGAAGAGGAGACAGACCTGCAACAAAGAACTGTCAAGTCAATGGAGTCAATGGCAAATATTCATTTTAGGTAGAGCTAAAGGTAGCTTCATACTGAGCTGGGATATAAAAGAAATACTCAGCTAGATAACTTCTCTTTTTCAAAAGCTCTACATCAGAAATGATAAAACATTGCTGGAGTACTAAAAATCAGCCATTGGTAGTGAGAGTTTGTTTGCAGAGGAAGCACTCTTTCCCTAGTTGTTTCTCACAGCCAGGTCTCTTTGCTGTTGTTGATGGTGACTATGGAACTTGTTTCTTCCTGTTTCTTCTTAAACGTTTCATGAAGTGAAGCAAATTCAGCTTGAGCTTTCGTACACCACAAGAGGTACTAACCCATCAAGTAGCCCCTACAGAAAACAAAATAAGTCAGAAAAAGAGGAAACACAGGCAGCACTCCTCAGAAAATCAAGAGATGTACAACGTCAAAACAAAACTTTAGACTGCCAAAACAACTGCTGATCAAGGCTTTTTGGCCATCTTAACTACACACTCCTTTCTCAGTTGATTTCCTTCAATGAACACTGCAAATGGACTAGCCTATTCTAAATCCAACTTTGATAGTTCTTTGGAATTTCTGAAGCCCATGCTACACCCTATGAAAGGTTCTTTATTTGTACCCTTCACACAAACTACCAGTTTTAAGGTATCCAATATAACTTGATCTTTTCTGGCATTCAACACAAATCTGTTCTCTTTTCCATTTCTCTGAAGTTCTGTTTCTTTAATGTATTTCAGAAAGGGACCTCTTAAGACACACGTGTACTCAATGAAACAAAAAAATATATAGCATCAATGAAGCAAGAATACAGAGCAGGCTCCTATCCAGCTCTCTGCTGCCAGGAAACCTATCGCTTCTGTGTTATTAAAGAAAACTTCTAACTACGCTGCAGAGGCACAAAAAAATATTTAAGAAAGAAAGAATGACTGTCACTATTAAGTGAACACTTCATGGAGCTACTCCAAAAATTAGGTACCAGTACCCCCAGACATCAGGTTTCAGCTCTTCTAAATTAAACAGATGGACTGAAAAATAACGAGGAGGGAAGAAATTGAAAAACCTGCATTTAGATATTTGGATTTTGCATAGTCTGAAAGCTCCAGATCTTTCCTACTTTTTGATCTGTGAATATAGATGCATTAAAACACCATATACATTGTATGCTTCAGTTTTCCAGCAACAACAACAACAAAAACCCAGACATCATCTTTACTTTAGGACTGCTTTGGATGTTTCTGAACACTTATTACTGCTACCATCAATTATTCTACTTATGATATCTAAGGTACGCTGTCCCTATAAAGAACTTATTTACCTTTCTTTGACACTTTCTTCTTCCTCAAAGTACTAATTTGTAACCACTTTTACCTGACCAGTACATACAATGAATTTTAAGGTACACTGACCAAGTCAGACTCACTAATTGTATTTTTTTACATACCAAGACCTGTCACCATTTTTTAACCACAGCACAACCTTACAGTAGCTGACTCCCAAAGCATCCCACCTCACTCAAGGTGTTCCAAAAAAAGTGTTGAAAAAAGCAACCTATAGTCAAGCCAAAGATCACTGTATTTGCTGTTACTCTTAAATTTAACATGTCACACATGAGCCCACAAGGAGAAGAAAAGCTGAAAGATAATTAAATCACTTACGGCAATTTCATCCTCATGAAAACTCTGGCCATGAAGAAGCTCAAAAGCACACTGACAAATCCAATAAAGAGCAAAAGAAACCTATTCAACTTGGGGATATTTGGTGCATTGGATCGATCCAGAATTATGAATCCTAGTCCACCCATTGTGAAGAGGAAGCTGGATGCGAGGCCTTCCATAATATACTGTCCATTTACTCTAAAGGGAAAAAAAAAGGGTGAAGGGAGGTAGAGAAATCAGAAAAAGATTACATTTACATTTCAAACCCCATCTAGTCAACCTGCTTCTGCTGTACAAACACACAGGATGTTTAATTTTGATGGCTGACTTTCTAACTAAAAGTAAGCAGGAAACCAACTTTATACAATTACATCAAGACTTCAATATGTAACTTATCTCCAGGACTGACAGTCTGCGAGGTGACCAGTCAAACACACCAGTGGATTTACACATACTAGTGTACACTAACGGCTACTACACAGGCTCATCAGTTTTCAGAAATATCTATTCCAAGGAAGTCCCCAGTTACACAGATGGCTCAAGGCATGGAACCATGACCTTCCTATTTCCATCCCAATGTTTAGGCAGAGCGCCTGAGTCCTTATCCCTGGACAAATCCCACTCAGAGCAATATGTCAGCACATGAAGCACATGCTGGTTCCAGCACACAGCAATTCCTGCCTGCAGGATGTTTCGCTCCCTGCTCACTGAGGCTGCACATATCCGTTGCAGGGACTCAGCCCAAGGATGTCCCAGCTCTCTGTCAGTCCAGACAGTCAGAATTCCTTCTGACAAAGCTCAGGTGGAGAGAGGGGACGACGGGGTGCAGAAAGAATATTGCACCTGGATCACAAATCTGCTTCCCACAGTCACCAAACCATTTTCCTATCCTTGTAATTAACAATACTGGTAATCTCATAAAACTGGCATTGATGAAACAACTATGTATGCTAATACATAAACAAAGATTATCACTAATGCCTCATATCCTGAAAACAAAAAAGTTGGTCTTCTTTCATGTTGTTTACACTGACTTGGGCTAAAGTGTAAGCAACTCCCTGCAGCAACCAGATTCATCTGCGCCAGTCTGAAATATGTACTGTATCTAGTCCAAGTCAAAATCTGCACATAAAGCATGCCACAGACCTCACAGATTCAAACAGCGCTTTTGGTATTTGTTACCACATACATAAAATACCCATGGCTACAAACGTGCATTTAACTGTCTTCAGACCAATCTGTTACTAAGAGTCCCTAGATTGTTTTCAGCAAAAGGCTCCAAGAAGGCACTGTTGTTGCATACTTGTAATTGTGTTCCCCACCCTCAAACACAAGAGTCCCTATTACACTGGAGTTTAAAAGGCCAGAACCAGAAATTTCACAAACATCATGTGTGCTGCTATGAAAAACCATCAAATGTATCTGCATCCACTATAAAACTCAACTCAAACAGCGGGAAACAGAAGTATTGCCAGCTCAAAACATTTTTTTTTACCAGAGTTTTCATTTTTTAGAGTTTTACGACTAAGCTTTTCAATTTCCACTGTTTCCAATGCTCGTCTTTTTTTTTTTCTAAATACTTGCAAACCAAGAATTGATATAGAACAGTTGCCTTGCACAGAGAGCTCAAAAGAAAAAAAAAAAAGCAGATGCACAGCTCCGTAAGGCGGCGTTTATTCCCCCTGTACTTGGGCATCTGCAGGACAGGGCTCTGCTCCTACCTGTATGCCAGGAAGGCCACCGGCCTCTGATGTCCGTGCTCGTCTGTCATCGACCCCACACTGGGAGGCTCCACAATCACGTCATAGATAATTCCTGCGGGAAGGAAAGCAAGCACCGTCTTTGACATGCAGCCCTGACCTCGCAGGGACGCCCGGGGCTGGCCGAGGGTCGGACCTGGAGAAGGATCAGCGGCTGCTCCGCCGCCCGGGGCAGGGGCCGAGGAAGAGCCGTGAACAGGGCCTCCCGCCCGCCCCTCCGGGTCGCGGTCTCACCTCCGGTGATGAGGAAGTAGGACACGACCACCAGCGCGTACACGGTCATGGCCGAAGGCATGTGCACCCAGCTCGGCCGCTTCAGCTTGATGTTGGGGCACTCGAGCACGGCGAAGGGCAGGCGGTACAGCGTCTCCATGGCGGCGGTGCGGTCCAGGGGCAGCCGCAGCGCCGCTGCTCCCTCCCTTCTTCCCTTCTTCCCTTCTTCCCTTCCTTCCTTCCCTCCCTGCCCGACCCGTCCCGCCGCCGCCGCCGGACACGAAGGCGGAAGCGGAAATGGGCTGCCGCGTCCTGACAGGGGAAAATTGACAAATTTTAAAAACTATAAACTAAACAAAGCACTCGAAATCTATGCCAAGACGGAAATGATAAGCATGAAAAAAAAGGGTTTTTTTTCTGCGTGAAAACATCGGAAAGGCTGCTCGCCCGCCGCCGGAGGATCTATCGGTCTTACTCACCTGCCGGGACCCGGCAGACCTGACGTGTCGGTGCCCAGTAACGGCTCGGGGCGGTGGGCGTAGTCGGGGGCGTGGTCAGCGCGCGGGCCCCGCCCCCTAGCCGGGCAGCCACGTGTCCACCCGGCGGGTCCCGGTGCCGCGGGACCGGGATAGGCACACGCGTGTGCCCGGCAGGAACATCGGCGCTCGACACTGGGGAACAGAACAAGATCCATAGTAGTCTCACCCCAGTCCCTGGGCAGGGAGAGTGGGGCTGGGATGCCCCTCGCCCACACCTTGGGATGTGGTGGATGTGGTGCCCATCCTGACCTGCAGCCAGAGGAGACGCCGACAGCTGCACAGCGAGACCAGGGAGAAAAGGCACAATCCAGCAGTAGCTGCTGAGAGCACCCGGGTTACCTGTGCATTACAGATCAGCTCACACACTTCTGCAAGCATGCAAACACCTCATCAGCCCAGGCCAGCCACACCAGGCAGGACATAGGGAAGAAACTCCTTGTTTTCAGCAGAAGCTTGTCTAGTTCCTCTTGCTTCATGGAAGGCACAAGGGAGAGCCCTTCAGGTTACAGGAGCGCATTTAAAAGCATGTGCTCCAGCTGAACTCGCCCCACCTCACCAAGCCATCCAGCCTACTTCCCACCGCTCAGCCCTGCCCCAAATGACTGCCCCCATACCCACACGGCACTGTCTGCTCAAACTGCTAAAAAAGAAATTAAGAGCCTTCTTACCATTTTGCTGACATTTTGCCTAACGACTGCTTTTATTTCTGCCAACAGTGGCAATACCACTTCTTCTAACTCAGAACTGCTGTCTCTCAGTGAAATCATGTAATATATAATTAGCTATTTTTAGTGTTGGCCTTTCTGTTTGAGAAAATCTCCCTCTGTGCCTGTCAACAGACATTTATGACTCTTACCCTCATTATTCCAAAAGTATTCTCCCTCCATCTTGCCTCCTTTCCAAGAGCCTGAAGGAAAACTCTAATCTCACAGCTTTTAAAGCAAAACAAGAGCACTTTTGGGGCAGGTTAGACATGCTTGCCCTACTTGCTGCTTCTGCTTAAAAAAATTTTTTCCAGCATGCTGAAGTACTGAAGTTTGTACTAACAAAGGAAGACAACTAATAAAATTTTAACCTCATAAACTAACTATAGTAACGGCACCTAAAAATGTCAGGGTACTAATGTTAGTCTTAAATAAACCTCCTTTAATTAGCTACAGCCTTTGCAACAAGTTTTAGCATAACCCGAGCTGAGGAAAAACACTTCATAACTTAAAGCTGCAACATTTATTTTGAGAACACTGACAGAATCATTTTAAGAACTTGGGACACTGAAAAAATTTTTGGGGAGGTACAGCTCCTTTCACCACGCTCAATGTTAAGTCAGATTCCCTGGATCATAGCCACCTCCTGTTGTCACACCCAGGAGGCAGCTGTGAGTTGGCAGGCACCTCACCCAAACCACCAGCTTGCTGCCACCCAAAGGGCAGGGCTTTTCACCAACTCAGTCTTCTGTCCTTTGTTTCTTGGCTGACTGTACAGCCTACCACGCTGCAGAGCTGGGCACACTGTGATGAGGTAGCATGCAGTCAGGAGGGACCTGCACACATCCCTCAGAGCCACAGCCTGAGCACTCCACACCCTCACTGCTCCCAGTTAAATCTCTGCACTCAGTAATTGTTTCTCCTCCTTCCTTTTTCTCATGGTGGAACTTACCACTTTTTGAAAAAAGTTATTGGTAAAAATAGATAAAAATACATTCTTGTCAGATACTAAAAGCAGTTAAAAATTCAGAGCTGGGGGCAAGGAATACCACAGCACCCACAGGTAACACAAGAATTATCCTGTGTTAAAGCACTCCTGGATAGCATTAGAGGCACATTTAGAGCTCTCTACAAAACAGAACAAAGCAAAGCCATTTTCACTTTTTACATTACCATTACATCTTTGGTGATAAACCAGCAGAATTTTGGTTCAAGTTTCAATACCAGAGGCCAAAATTGCTCCTCTAAAACCTAATGTAGAAGCCATTAAAGGTTTGCCTTAGCTGCACCCCGGAGCTCTGCTGGTATCATACCTCCAAGTGCTGACCCAGCAAGCACCCAAAGAACAGGATACAGCAGCTGCAGCTTTCTTCCAGGAGATTCAGATGTAGCAGTGTTGAACTGTTGCTAGTGGGTACAGCAATGGTATTGAGAAGTCAGACTATTCCCCCCCTTCAGATTCAAGTAATGGTAAATGTATCACATACAATTAAAAAAAAAGAATCTACCTTAGGCCTACACTAGCTCTCCTTTTCTTCACCTGACAATCTTTCTTCCAGCCTTTCGATGGTTTGCTTTTCCTTTTCAGAGTCCGAACTTTCTTCTGAGCCAAGTTCTCTGATGACTTCATACACAGCTGTTGCCATAAAGAAATAAAACCTGCACTGCTTGAAGTTACTCCAATCCCTCTGCAGGACTGAGAGGCAGAGCCGGGAGTCCTGTTTAACCAGACCTCCTTCCACCTGCTTGATTTCCCTGTAGCACACAGCACAGAACAGAACATCCTGACTTACGGGTTTTGTTGCACCAAAACCCAGTTCTGAATTCTACGAGCTGTGAGAAGCAGCTCCTACCAGCCTTGAACAGAACACGGAATGACAGGACACAAGAGAAGTGGAGCTTTCATTTATTGGGATGAAATTACAAATAGATTCACTTTGACTTCTGGCTCTGTGCTTGTGCCTTCAGTACTTTTACAACAATCTTCTGCTCCTCAATAAGAAAAGCTCGTTTGATCCTGGAAAAGAAAAACAAGTTAAGGACATGTATCTACCTACTTCAGTAAAAAACACAAAAATAACACAACTTACAATTAATTCTGCAGTCTCCAACATCCATTGCATATGCTGTGCTAGTTCCACAATTACACAAAAAGGGAAACTGTCCCTGTTCTTGCCAGCAGCAAGAGACAGGGAGTGGCACTGGATGAATGTAGTGGTCTGGGGAAGAAGGTCTACTGTGCTTACAAATTTAGGGTGAGTGGCTTGTAGGCAAGCAAGGTAATACCAATGGCTGAACACTGGGAAAGTTACTGTCTTCACCAACTCTGAAAGCAAAAAGCAGAACTGGCAAGTTAATTTAGCTGCAAAGTCGTCATTGGTGTGACAAGTCATGGTCAGTCCTCTTCCACAGAACTATGGGAAACTCTAGGTGCATCCAGTTATCAAAAACAGGAACAGTTCCTCTGTGAGGATTAAAGCTCTTTTGCACATCAACAGGGAAAATCCTAGCAGGTCAAGTCATGCCCAAATTCAACTATTTCTGGAAGATATGCAGGGCCAGCATGCAGATGGACAGACCTATGCAACAGTACTCATATATCAATGGCCTATCTGATGGTTTTGAGTTAAAACACAAATACACTGTACTCGCTTTTCTACCTCTGAACGTTGAAGTACCTTCCATATGCATTTGGTATATATGGCTACTTTTGCAGTACCCAAAACCTACCAGAGATGCCTAAGCAGGCACAGGAGAAAACCCAACCATTACAGGGAAGGAGCTGTATTTTTTGATTTAGGCAGAATAGGAATAAGACAGACTCATGCATTAAAAAATACTTATCAAGCTCATTAAGTCTTTGGAAAAACACTCAGGGAAAAAAAATTGGTTTTCAACACAGTAAAGTTATGCTATGGATCTGCAGCTGTAACAACTCATCTTCAGTAGCACCTAATGCAATTTAAAAGCTCCCACGTGCCAAAAAAAGCAACCAATCAACCAACCAAATAAAAAAACCCCACCACCCAAAAAAACCCAACAAAAACAAAACCAAAAAAACCCACTGTCATTAGACTGCTGATGCTGGAGATCTGCTTTGGTTGCCATTCACAGAGATGACAAAATTTGACGTAATTTTTTGTCATACATTTTTCCTCAAACTTTTGCCAAGGAAGTATAGGACGTACAGCTGTTACACAATAAAACTGAATTCAGTGAGGCCCAGCAAAGGCCATCTTAAAGCTTAATCACATTAAGATGCTTAACATGCAACCAAATAATATCTCTGAACCCCAAAACACTACAAAGAGGTGAAATATTCAACTAAACTTGCACTAGTAACTTTGTGTAAGGACAACAGACGAGAAAAGTCTACGGGGGCTCAACACAAAAAAAACCTGCGTGAGCAGACTTTAGCATCCAAGCAACAGCACAGTATAAAATCACAAAGAACATGAGGTCTCTACAAAGCAGCTTCATATACAGTAAGTAGCTCAGTCCAGAGGACAGGGACAGACACTGCTGCTCACATGCTCCAAGCTGACCCTCTCCATTTCACTACACCAGTGTCAGACAAGAGTCTTCAAAATTTTAGTCCACATTACGAAAACACAGAGAGATGTAAAAATCTCACACGAGATAACCTCAAGAGAGAAGTTCCCTTTCTGTAAGCTTACCTGTCACGGACACACTTAGCACACATAGAACCACCATAGGCCCTGCTAACGTGCTTCTTTGTTTTGGACAGCCTCATGAGAACTTTGGGGCGCACAGCACGGACCTACAGAGAGCAAAAACGGAAAGTGTATCGTAAGACAGGGATTTTGGGTAACAGCTATATAAAAAACAACATCAATTTCATGCTTTTAAAGAAGTAGCAACACCTGAAGTTGACTTGATATTCAAGATGCTAAGAAGTGACTGAAGTCACAGCTCATTGTATCTGCCACTTTCAGGA